GGATGAACAAAGACCTAAATCTAAGTATAAAATAGGCAAATTCTGACTAACAAATACAGTGTCATTTAGTTGCTATGGCAACATGGAAAACACAATGAAGAAGAAAAGAGCTCTGCTCAACAATGTTCTCTGATGATGAATGAAACAGGGTCTGTTGAAGTATTTGATGGTGAGATGCACTTGAATCTCGAACCAAATCCTCTTAACAAGCTCACCTGATACTCCATATCATAGCTAGGCAGTAGGATCCGTCCTTCTCTCCACTCCTCCCCTTGGTCTTCTCTGATGATCCACAGCGGCTTGTTCTCATGCATAGCTTCCCGCCGCACCTGCAGCATCGTTCCGCTTCCACCAGAGACCTGGTACTGGAATATGAGGCACACAGCGCTCCGGGGCAAGAAGACCATAGGGCTGAACAGCCGGGTGTGTTGTCTTTCTCTTCTGGCACTGCTCTGCAACCTCAAATAATGCTTGCCATCTGTGGAAGGAGGAGGAGGAGGACAATCTCCAGTTACCATTTGCAATGGACGGGGTAACATCCTCCCTGAAATCCCGCAAGAGGTTCAAGCAATGAGACCTGTCATGACAACTGCTGTCATTCATATGAGCACAAGGCAGAGGTGTAGAGGTCACTTGCCCTTTGTCCCATGAAATAGGCAGCTCTACACAGGTATGAGACTTTCAGTAGGCTCTAGAAATGAATTCCCAATGAAAGAAACTACGTTTCAAAGAAAACACGCATATCGTTTCTAAATCCACGTTTGCCTCTCAACACTATTTATATGCCATCTACCTGCTGATTCTTCTCCCATTAAGCCCCCTGGTCACCATTTGTTCCCCGCACACGATGCTTCGTCTGCCTGTAAATTACCATGACAACCTGTTTGAGAATCTGTGTTTGCTGGGATAATAAGAAGTTACACACTGATCATGAAAATTTGCCAGGAAGTTTCCAGGTTTTGTGTTTGTGAAGGTACTTTAGAGCACGCTTAGGCCAACCGCGTTTTATATTATGTGTCCTACTGAGTCAGGCAGCCCACAGAAAACATATCCTGCATTCCTTTCTGTCTACTTTAGATTGTATAACAAAATCTATCAGTCTGTTTCCATATGGGCCTTCTTACTCTTCAAGATCTCCCTGGGAGGATCTGCTTATGCCCCATCACTACCTAATGGGATATGGCTGGTGGCTGTGTGACTAAGGCAGGACCTGCACTCAGATTCGGAAATTTCCTGCCATGTAATGTTTGCCTGATGCCTCTCCCACACCCATCTTAGCTTCCAAAAAATGAGTAAAAACCATTTTGTAGAGAAAAGGTCTTTAGTTTAGATCAGTGGTTCCCAACCTTGGGTAATCCAGGTATTCTTGTACTGCAACTCCCAGAAGCTTTCACCACTGGCTGTGCTGGCTGGAGTTTCTGGGAGTTGCAGCTACCCAAGGTTGAACACCTAAGCACACAGCATAGCCCCTCCCAAAGTAATTTTTCCAATTTCTATTTTCATTGTTGTTTTTTGATGTTGTGGATTGATATATCACTGACATATTTCAGCATATGAATGTTTTCCATACACCACTTTAGAATGTGTTTGCTGAAATGTGACATAAAAATTAATTAATTAATTAACTAGAGTTAAATTGTACTATATCAAAAGGGGAAAAGATCACTATGTAGCTCTGTAATAGCAGCAGTTCTTAAATTTGTTCTAGTTAGGATTTTAAAGAATCTTTTAAATTATTATTCTGATGTCCACATTTCAATCTACTCTGCAATATTTACTTGCTCAAGACCTCTTTGTAATTTTGCTGTGCTGGAATATTTCAGAGTACCTTACAAAGATGACTTGAAAAATCTCCTCATCTGTCTTTGTCCTGATTTTGCAAGCTACAGCAAAGTCAGTATTGTATAAAGAGAAGCATATTTTATTAAGCAGATCTTACAAAAATAACAGCACTAAGCTTGTCTTCAGAATGCAAAGAACGAAACACTTGTCAGGGGAGAAGGAAGGCTGGATGTGCTGTAAATGAGATGCAATGCACAAATGTTGAGGATTTCACCTTGCATCAATAGGGACACAGCCAAGGGGGGAACGTTGAGGATTTCACCTTGCACCAAGAGACGCATCAATAGGGACACAGCCAAGGGGGGAAAATGTCAGCTGGACAAAATATACAGCACACTGCAAAAACTGAAAAGCCAGCTTGGAATGAAATGCACTACTTGAGAGGAGCACCATGGCCTCCTTGGAGGGACACAAGGTTCTCCTGACTCCTAGCCACCAAGGAGCAGTGCCTCCCACCTCTCCTCAGTCCTTACATAGCTCAGTTCTCATGTTGGAGCACAAAAGAGGGACGAAGTCTTGTAACTTTTTACAGCAACATAGAAGAGAATATTTTAACAGGGTCAGTGTATGAAGAAGGAAATCTTCTACACAACTAAGAGTGTAATCACGCAAGGAAATAGATCTCAATTTGGATCTCTTGTGGAGTGGTCCAATGCGACCTATTTCCCGATGATCACACAACGTACAGGAAAATCAGCTCCAGTCCAACCCCAATCCATGCTAAAGTTGGACCTTTTTGATCCAACAGCAGGACGTCTACTTCTTCAAACCGTCCTGGAGCAATTCCTCAGCAGACGGAAGGGATGGCTTAAGGGAGATTGCTCCCTGCAAAGCAACCATTTCCTGCCTGATGGATGACACACACGCCTTTGCAGCGGTCCAATCACTTCCCAAAACAACTAGTACAAGACGTCTGTCTTCTTTTGCTTAATGATTTGCTACCTTCAGCCCTCATAGTGGCTGCTTCATTTGGGAATCGATTGTTCCTTCCGCAATTAATATTACAGGCTCCGAATCCTTCTGCCAGACACCAGGGTTGCTTCATGCCTTCCTATCAAAAGAAAGTGGGCAACAATACTAGAATGCAAGTAGTCTCTGTTTAGACAAGAAAGACAAGGAACTCGCTGTTGGAACCCAGATTCTGTAAGCCCACCCATCTGCCTGCCTAAACAAGAGAGCACCTGCATTTCCTGAGCATGGCCAGCTTTTTAAACAGCAAGGCCCTTCTTTTTTGCAGCTGCACAACAAGCAGACATTTAGCTTCCAGGGTTTTCTCCATCACCCCACTGACAGACATGGAAAAAGGTCTGTCTTGTACACACTACTTTTTGCACAGGTGTTAAGGACACAGGAGCTTTGGCTAAATAAGTTATTTCGTTTGGTTAATTTGTTAGTTACTGATACTTACACGCTAGCAGCTGATTGGAATCACATTGGAAGAGGAAATGAAAATGTTTCACATGATTTTACAGTAGTGAAGTTGCTGTATTTAAAGTTAAGGATGAAACCTTATACATATTTACTTGAAAGCAAGCCCCACTGTTCAGCGTGTGTTGTATTTCTAAGTAGACATGCATTGGATCTGGCGTTCAACAGAACCAGTGTGGGGTTTTGGGAAGGACTGAAGTTCTAAGAAAACACCCTGACCGCTTGAACCCACCTCCCCCTTGCATCCAAAGAATAAGCCAAATAATTAATACAGGAGCAATAGTGACAAGTGTCTGTGTTCTGCCACACTCAAGCTAGTACGGCAGAGAGTCTTGGTTTCAGGAAGATGAGTAGTTTGGGGGGGGGCGGCGCGCGCGGAGGAACAGAAAGGCAGCATATTCCATTGAGTGCGACAGATCAGTAAGGAGGTTGTCTATTTCCCCAGCAGTCATAAGCATAGCAGTCGGCTGATTAAGACACTGAAAAGCTTAAGGCAAAAGATTGACATAATTAGGACAAGTGAAAGTACAGTAATCGGTGGAGAAAAATTGACTCTGTAATCATGACATTATCAGAGGTGGGGGGCGCACAGGAGCAAGCTCATATTTATTCTACCTCAGATTCGCTCAGCTTACAAGTTAGCTGCTGACAGGACAGGGCCCCCCTCCCACCTTCCCGCCATCACCGCCCTGCCACTTGCGATCAGTAGAAATTCTTCTTAGGACTGGAAGTCTAAACCTGGAACATGGGTGTGGGGAGCGGGGGGGGGTTTCCTCGCTTGTGCCTTGCCCGCCCTATCCCATCACCAGGCAGCAAATCCTTTGCAATCAGAGCTTAGCTGTTGATTTAGCTGATGATACATGAAGTGGAATAGTACTCATCAGCTTTCACTTTTCCTTTTCCTTCCCCTCCCCCTTTTCCTCATATTACAGATGATTGGCCCTCAAGCATAAACAGTAGAAGGAAGGCCTTGCTCCTAGGGATCTAAGAGAAGGTGACTCAAGCAGATGAAGCAGGTGTTCGAGCAACAAAGAGAGGGAGCTATTTTTAGCTTAAGATAAAACTGACCCTCAGTCAGCTAAGGCCACCTTCCAATGTTAGGAAAGCAAAGTATCAGTAAAGTTGACCTTTTAAATAGGGAGTGCTTAGCCTGTTATTCTTCTGCCCAGACACCAAATAAAATGAAATAAAATAAAATCCCCCAATGTTTTCCCCACTGCTAAAGCTGACAGTGAGCTTAGGTGCTTCCTTATCTGGCATCGTTCCAAGCAGCTCTGACAGTGAGATGCTGTTTAAATGGATGCAGCTTATTTTGAACAGAAACAGTGGCCCTCCACAGCTAAGCTTATGTAGCCAAACTACCACTCAGGGACCAGCCACAAAAGACTCCTGGGTTTCGTATCTCTGAGCCGCTTCCAAAGGTGGTACGGAAAAGCTTTAAGCTTTTCAGATCAGAAGCCTACACTCATGCCATGATCACAGAGGACGGAACAATGGTATTTAGTGAGCAAGGGAGCTAGGCTACTAACTTTCTTGCCAGTGGAATACAATGGCTCAAGCACAGTGGGCATGGAGACTGATTTAGTGGAAGGAAGAAGCAGGGCAGATTTACCAAAGGAGAAAAATGGAATCTGAGCACCCCCGATCGTTCATTTCTAAGTAAGTAATTCTAATTATTTGCCTTCAAGTCAATTCTGATTTATGACCACTCTTTTTTCCAGGTAGAGAACACTCAGCAATGATTTACCATTCCCTTCTTCTGAAGGCACTGAGCTAGTCTGGATAGCTCAATGTTTTAGGTATCTAGCTGCAAAGCCAGGTACTGGGAATTCCCCACTGTGCCTCCATCAAGAAGAGCCAGCCTGTGCAGCCTTGGGCAAGCTGCACAGTCCTAGGGAGACCTCAGAAGACAGGAATGGGAAACCACTTGAATACTCTGTACTTGAAAAACCCTGAATAATGTTGCCATGAGTCAGAGCTGAATCTAAAGAAAGTAAGTAAACAGGTAAATAAGTAAGTAAGGTATTTATTTACTTTAAATGTATATACCACTCTTCAGCAGTGCTTCTCAGGCACTGTGTTTTCCAGCTACCATGGAGGTGTACAAGATTGAACCCCAGCCCCAAATCATAACATTCCTCCATAATGGAAAAGAGATTTACAGGCCTCACCTAACATCTCACTTTACATGCAAGTTTGTCATATGCA